ATAAAGATAACAATAAGATAAATATAGAAAAATAGATAATACGAGAAAGAAAAAGAAGAAAATAGAAAGAAATAGAAAGGAGTAGAATATTATCGAACCAATTATGTAGTCTAAATATTATTATGACTAATTTTATCGTGCCGCATCTTTTGTTCACATGTTCTTTTAAAATTATAGTTGATATCGAATTGGTGACAATATACAAGTCATATATAAAAATTATATATTCAAATTATATATTATATATAAAAGTCATATAATCTCAAATTTATTCATAATTAATTAAATATTAAATAATAAATAAATAATTTAATTAAATTTAAATTATTAAAAATATTAAATATTATAAATAATTAATTTATCAATAAAATAATTATATTATAAAATATTTAAATTATAATAATGTACTAATATTTATAAATTATTTATTTCTAATTCAAAAACTTGGAATTAATTTTGCTTTATATTAATTATATAAATTATTATAATAATTAATTTATTTAAATAATATTTTTCAAGTTTCTTTATATAGATAGTTATACTTTTATAATTTATATATTTTTTTAACTTTGATTTATCAAAATCTTTAGAATTATATTATTTTTTTAATAATTCTAAGATCTTTATATCCTATACAGTATCTTGTATTATAATAATATAATAACTTGTTGATTCTGTATCTTTATTTAATTTAGCAAAGGTTAAAATAATATAAAACTTTTCATAAATTATTATTTAAAACTCATATTTATTTGAATTTGAAATTTCTTTAACTTTTCTAATTCATGATATTTATCATTAATAACTACAATATTTTTTATTACTATAACACATTTATTTTTATATTTTACAGATATTAATATTCATTAATTAATTTTATTCTATGCAATTTTAAGATTTCATCCTAATATATTAGTTAGCATTTTATTTATAAAAATATATTCAAATATATTATCATTAAATTTATATGAAATAATTATATCTTTGATTTTGTATTTTATATATTCAAGTAATTTAATTCATTTATTTTTAGAAGATGAATTTAAAATTTTTTCTTATATTACTGAAAATAATAATTTTAATAGTTGGTTATTTAATTCTGGAAAAAATTTGAATTTTAAAATCAGTGAAGCTAAATTAGTTAATAATTTGCATAAATTTACAGTTTTATTTTGTAATATTTTACTTATCTATTTTTTTGAATCATACTATATATTATCTTTTTTATTATAATCACTTTTATCTTTATTATTATAGATAGACTCAAGAGCTACAAAAAATTAATTTAATTAAATTTGACTTTATTTTAACTAAAGTGATTATTAATTAAAAACTTTTAAATTAATTATTTAACTGATTTATTATATCTTGAGTTTTATTTATAATATCTCAATATATATTAAACTCTTTTTTAATTTTATTTATTTTAGCAGATTATTTTCATATATAATCAAATTTCTTTATATGTTTAAATAACAAAAGAAATATATTATTCAGATTTTTATCCCAATTAAAATCTTATCTATCTGTTATATTATCCATAAATTTATTTATATAATACTTATTTTTTTTATATTTATGATCTAGTGATAATATCAATAATTAATCTACTGATTTAGATAATTAAATCTTAGTTTGTTAAAATATTTTTGTATCAAAATCAACTTTTAATTTTTTTATTTTAGCTTTATGTTTAGTTTACTGTTTATTTAACATAATTTGAAATAATTTTTGTATTTTATCATATGAAAAGGGTATTGGTTATAAAACTATAAGCGTAATACAATATTGTTATTTTGTTTTGCAAATAGTTTTTTCATTGATTTCACCTGGTCAAAATTTTGCTCTTTATATAAACTCAAATATTCTAGTCACATATTTTTTAATGCAGTGAAAAAATCATCAATACCTACTGGATTTTTTGTTTTTATTCAATTATAAAATTCATAATCATCTGCTAATTGACTTTTTAAAAATTCTAAAACTTGAATATTATTATTTGCAACACTTAATAAAAGAAGTCTAATTCTACTTTTATATATTTCTAAAGTATTAAAACGTTGAAATCTTTCTTGAATTAATCTCTGAATAGATGACTTATGATCACGAAAATCAATTAATCGATGCTAATCGATATTCTTAAATAAAAGAATAATTATCGATGTTTAACCCTTTAAAAAATTTCCTGATGAAGTTCCATCATCAATAAAAAAAATAAAGAACAATTATCACTAAAAAAAGTTACAATTCGCGAGCAGAAATAATCTGACTTGGTAGTTTCTAATCAACTTTTGATTTTGTATCTTCTCGGCAGTGTTAGCCAATGACCTGGCCTGTTAATTTAAAGCATTCAAAGCCAATGATTTTCTTTTATCACAGTCTTCAAGGTTTGTTAAATACATTACAAGTAGCTAACACTAATTTTTTATAATTTTCGGAATTGTCGGAAAGCACGGCAATAATTATACACAAAAATTATATACATGTGGTTGTTTTTAATAGTAGTACCCTTAGTAAGTATAAGCACATTTATTTTTTGAAACCGTAACATCAACCTTAAATATACTCAATGTGACTGAATTCTCCCAGCATACAAAATCAAAACATCAAGTATCCGAAATCGTGTGCACACGAATTTTGTGACATTGGCTCTATTTTATCTAAATTGCTCTATTAACAGTAAACAATGGAAACAATAATATTTGAGATAAATAATATCACAAAAATAAAAGTATACTCACTCTTTTTTTCCGCATCGAAATAATGAAAATCTAAAATCTTATGCTTTCAAAGGTAAGATCAGTCTCATGTTATTGGTATATCCCAGCAAGAAAGGTTATTATCATTTGATAACTATAAAAAGTCCAATCCTAATGCAAGCTTAACATATTCATTTAGAGTTTGATAAATTCTTTTTCTGATGAAAAGCAAAAAGCGTACCCATATTGGTTTGGTTAACGAGAGGACCATTCCAATGTTGAAAATAGCATAATCATATGCGGGATCAATATAATTTGTCACATCCAAATCTGGGTTCGAGTGAGATTGGTCATTTAAAAGCTTTGAATAACAGTCTGAAATTTTAAAATCGAATTTAGAAATACGTATCATTATACTGAAAATCTTACCTTAATTGAAATGACTCCAGAAACTCATATCCATGATTCTTATTAACATAATCTGTAAAGTTCCCGAACATGTTTGTCTTCAGTTTTTATGACGAGCATTTGCTTTGCGATATCCTCAATTTTTTCATTCCACCCTTTAAAAAAATAGTAATTTAAAGTTCAAAGCGTAATTGTCAAGCATTTGACAGCATACAATAAAACAAAGTTATTCCATGAATAATATTGACAGAAGTGGCAAGTTGATCCTCAACTAGACCTTTTTATTTATTACAAAACAGATTGATTAAACTGATAAATAAAAAGGTGAATAAAGACGAACCTTAGATATTTTTTTTGCTACAGTCCCTGGACATGTAAGAAAAACGACATGAGCCGTAACCAAATCTTGTTGGGACATTACTGGAGGAGCAGAAGTTATAGAGAATAACCGAGGTAAAAGTTAACGTTAACGAATTTACTTGATTCATAAAATATTTAGGACTCAGTACGTATTTATTATCAATCACGTGTAAGTTGTTTAAAATTACACATGACAATGGCACAATCTCCATGCACAATGAATATCATAAATAAATACTAATCATAACGAGAACCCTATAAAAAGAATAAGGTGATATTGATCAACTTTTCCAGAAGTATCGGTATATAATTAACATTAACTAAATTAGTAACAGCGATAGGTGAGAAAGCGTGTATTACTGAAAATAAAACTTTAATTAAATATTACATTTTTTTATATTGATATTGACAGTAGATTGGTTAGTTGAGATGCTCCCCAACTAATAAGCCTTGTTTATTTCTCCGTTTATCTATTTTTTACGCGCGTAGATATTATAATATTATTTATTTAGCTTCCTGGGCGAGTAAAATCTGTCATGACAATTATAGATTTCAGATATAATATTTAAATCAAATATTTGAAAAATTTTGTAGTAATAGTTAAAGTGAACCCTACATCTCCGTTTTCACCTTCAGGAATCACGCGATTCACGAAAATTTCGAGTGCTTACTCTTTCCATTATCAATAAGTTGCTTATTCTACTAACGAAGCTTTCGTAAGTTTGAAGAGATTCTACTTTTGCATAATCCATAATTTTTGAAACCAAAATGCTCATTTTGTCTAAAGAGTACAGATATAAATAATATATACATACAATGGGTGGCTGTTGTTCCTCGCAAACAATACTCGATGATACGGTTGGGCGAGAAGGCACGGCTGACAATCTTGTGCCACGTGGAGGTACTAATTTTTATTAGGGATGTATACGCTATCTATTAGAAAGTTTGCTTATGAATGAATGCTATGATTTGAAATTAGGAAATAAACCATTTACCAAAAAAGGGGTGAAATGGACATCAAACATTCCAATAAATCAACGCCGATTAAAAATGCAAAGGGACGCGTTTTGGGATACTGCACCAAGTTATGAGGTATTCTAAGACCAACATTATTAGTAGAATCCATTTATGCTTTCAATTAAGGTTTTGAATTTATATTCATTCAAAGGGACGACTAGAAATATGGCAAGCACTTCGATGTGCATGTGAATCAGAAGATCTAATTCTCGCGCAAGCAATCATTGATTCCGCAAATATTACTATACCTACAGGGAACCTAACGAACGGTTGCTACGACGAACTAGGAAATCGATACGTGATTCCTGTATATTGCATAGTAGAGCCTGTCAATCTAATAAAAGAAAGCGACAGTGAAGGAGGCACATCATCACACCAAGCCGACGATAATATGGATTCTAAATTATTATCGGAATCAGCAGCCTCAGTAACTACAACAGATGATAACACTTTCTATGATCATAATCTCACTGTCCGACTTTCCAATCATGCAAAGGATGTACGTATAAGCGTTAATCTCAAACAGGAAACAATCGGGACATTACGACAAAAGTTATGCGCAAATGAAGAATTGGACGGGCAGGAATTTAATGCGCGGTTCTTCTTTTTGGGTCGTATGTTGGATGATGACACAAAGTTAGCGGATGTGAAATTTGAGGAAGGACAAGTTTTGCAAGCGTTGATTACGGAGAAGTCATGATAGTAATTTTGTCAAAAATTTCGGAATGAGGGTTATAGAACATATGTATAAATAAAGGGCGAATGGGGATCTACTTCAAAAAATTTTGAGATTTCGAATTTTGGACGAATTTTTTTTTCACTTTTTAATTTATATAAGACGGGTGCGCATCATAAATATTGAAAGCTTAGGAATAATAATCGTGTATAAACAATCAATGATAAATTATTATTCCAAAATCACCAGATTTCATTTTAATCCGATTTCGTTTTAATCTGCCACAATAAATAAATAATCGGGTTAAGTGAGCATTAATTAAATGCCATTGAATATTTATTCTATCGATACTTATTTATTATTGTTCTCTTATTCAAATATTAAGTGCAATAATCTATATCAATTCCCTGAAGGTACAAAACAATAAATATATATATACCAATAATAATAAAAACATCCATTAAACTATCTATCTATTCGTCGACAATAAGTAAATGTTGAAAAATTAAGTATATTATTTATTTAAATTTTTCGTGCACCCAATCCACCGCCTTTCTTCTTTTGTTCCCTTAATTCGCCCATTCTCTAAAAATAAAAAAGGGATAAAGGTTTGGCATACGTTGAAATGTGTAAACGAGTACACTAATAAATTACCTGACGTCGTTCTTCTCTTTTGCGATTCATCTCTGCGGCTTTCTCTTCTTTTGACAGATTATTTGAAGGTGGTGGTGGTAGTCTTTGGATCGCAGGACTACTACCATCACCCCAATTATCGCCCCATCCCGAATCGTCGAAATTCCAACCATCGGAAGCTAAATGATAAACACGTGCAAAAAAATTTCGATTCTTTAGGATACATTAAAATACATAGCAAGATAATGGCAGCAAAAACCTTTATTACTTGATTCTAATTTCATTGGCAAAGTTGCACCAGTAGGTGCCAACTGCGACGACCCAAAATTTGATGACATTCCTGAAATAGGACGTTGTGACAATGATACAGAAGATGCGGAAGGTGATTGGTGGAATCCTCCTATATCAAAAATCCATTATTCGAATTGCTAAAGCTATTATCAAATTAGCTTTAACATGTATACATACCCCAATCATTATTATTAGCATTGCTGTTTACAACATTGAAAAAGTCACTTTCAAAATCGAATAAATTATTCGACAGGTTTTGACCTAATTGTAACAAAATAATCTATCAATATTATCACTAGCCATTTTTTTTTTCATAATGGAAAAAATATAATTTACCTGTATTATTATTATCATTTGATGACCCAAGTTTCATTGAGTTCAATGAATTAGCCCCTCCGATAGTCCCCAGTTTCATCCCCCCACTTGATGTTGTAGGAGATAATGGTGGAAAAGAAGATTGAAATCCATCTAAGAAAATAGAATATACATATAAATAATAATTTAATAATTCATAGAAAAAATTCTCTTTACCACTTACTCCATTCGTCAGTTTCCTTCTTTTTCGTATCATTTTCAAAATATATTAATCCGGCGCCAAAATCTATCAATGTGTCATCATGCGCCCATCCATTTGAAGTATTTGAAGTGGAATTATTATTATTATTGTTATTATTACTATTGTTATTTGAGGCAGAAAGTGGTCTGGATGGGGTATTATTAATTGTTTCTGATTCATTCCTCGTTGAATTTGTTGTTCCATTAACAGGAGAACTGGACGTTCTAGGAGGCTGTGATGATGGTGGTGGTTCCGATATGTTGCCCATTGTTTCCCCTGATCCAACGAGCTTTTCTTATAACCAATAAATGAGTAAAAAAGAATCATAAAGGAAAAAAATCACATGTAATAAACATGATAATAATAATAATATTCACCTTTTTACTCAAAGATGTCACTGCCCAACCTCCCCATGTTTCTGCAGCGGAAGCGACAACTCCAGCCACACCGCCTGCCGCATGTGCAACTCCTGGAAGTCCTGACGGTGGAGGCGGTGGTGCAGTCTCAGGCTAGAATATAAATATTATGAATAAATAAATAATAAGTATATTGGACAAACATAAATTATCACTAGTATGAATATAATAAATACCATCGAATCAACTAAATTTTCTAATCGTTTAACAAATACGTCAAAGGTTTTGAAGGCTTGTGCACGAACAGGTCTATAGAAATGCAGTAAATAAGATATATATCACTAGTATTGATGAAGAATAACGTTGATGAATCTTACTTTTCCATGTCTATTAATATCAACGACACAGAAGGCAAAATTTTTGTGGCACAATCCACTTTATCATAATACTCAGCAGTGGCTATAAAACGAGAGTATTGGTTAATATCTAAGTATAAAAATAATCAATAATAAATAATTTCGTGTTAGATCTCACCAGCCAATGCCATTAAACTTGCAACCCTTGCATGTGGAAAAGGATCACGTAATGCTCTCGTGAAAGCGGGTACTAGAACTTTACCCTTTGTCTGCAATAATCAAATGGGTATTACTACTAACATTCTCTAATTTCACAGATTAAATGAATTAACTTACACCTTCACTCAAATACTTGCTAATTTTACCCAAACAAATTGTCGTATTGGTTCTAATACCGGGCTCTTCATCAATTTGCAATTTCGCCAGATATCGAAGTAAATCATTATTGATAATTTTTTCCGATAACTGAATAAAAAACGAAACGATTCAAGTAAAAATAAATCTTAAGCGGATTTAAAATTTTACCTATCACCTCACCTTACCTTTGGTGCAAGCAATAAAACAGATTTCACTGTCATTTCTCTGATAACCGGCGCCGTATCCGCAAATCCTGTGGCCTGTCACCTCGTGTAATTAATAATTTGATTCATGAATAATCATCAAGAAAAATTTTTAGAAACTTACTATGTGCGGAAATATTTTATCAGTGACTGTTTTAATGTTGAACCTTTCGATAAATGCCGGTAGATTCTCTAGCAAGTTGAGTCGCATAGTTCGATCAGGTAAGGCAAACATTTTTATTATGGCTGTCGAGATGTATTGGTCGTATTCATCCTGAGATAGAGTTTTGCCAATCTTTATGATTGGTCCTATGACCTTGGCTCCTCCTATATTTTGTTATTACAGTCAGCAGAAATTCATTTAAATTATCGTTTCAGAATTAAAAATACAAAATTGAACCTGCGCCAAATTCCAAAGCGTTCAAAAGTTCCGGCAATATTTTATATTTACAAATATTTTCCGGAAAGGTATCGATCGACTCGTTTAACTTTCTGAAAACTCAAAAAAAAATTAACAACGCCGAAAAATTAAAGACGTCAATCAAAAAATTGTATTAAAAACGAACTCACTTTATAAATGCGATTTTTTCGCTAGCTTCTTTGATATTCATATTCTCTAGAAACAAATTCACTTGCACTAAATCATTTTGGAAAATTCCGCCTACACGTAATCCGCTTTCAACAAACATTGAAATATTGGTACGGAGTTGAGGATTCGGATTAATTAAGTCTTTGTATTCTATATAAATCGCCTAAACAAAACTTGGTCTTATTAATTTGATTTTCAAACTAACCGAATAATTTGCTCGCTTACCTGAGGTATTGTACCCATATTTTGAAGTTGATCAACCGACGTGAATGGTCCATTGTATACTTCGTATATAAGTGTTCCATAATTCCACGCATCGGTTACCCAAATTGCGTGACTGTATTTTTCACACACAAAGATAAAAAAAAACATTATTTTGTCATAATTAAGTTATAGTCTTAAGTATACTATTTGATAAACTAACCACTTTAGCTTTTTTATTATTAATACTCGTAATTGTTGTCTTAAAATAAATGCTCACTCTCTTAATATATTCCACGAACTTTTAGTTATTTCTGGTGAAGAATATCTCGAGGAATCTGGCAAATAGCCACCACTCGTCTACAAAATTCCAATAAATATTTTTAATAAGACATCATATATTTGGTCAAAAAATATATATATTTTCACATACATAAATAACTGGATCCTCTTCCTTCGATGAACTCATCAATTCAAAACCACCCAATTTCCATTCACCCGCTTTATTTGTAAATATCGACGATATACGAACATTTCCGTGAACAATCGAACAATCATTATTCAGAAAATTGAGGGCATTCTACATGATTTACAATTAAAGATTAATTTTATGCGTAAAAACTTCAAAGAACTTTTAAAATAGTAAATGCATAGAAAGAAAACTAGTAAAGATCAATTACACACAGCAACTTTATATAATCCCCATAGCTTCAAATTGACGTCGGATAAAGAGCTTGATTGTGAGTTTAATGGGGCCACATAATCAGTGACAATATAAATATAAGATTCGGTCTGGAGAATTATAATATTTTTTAGATTATCGAAACTTTATTCTTATAATAAAAGGATTGCAAATTGTTCATACTTCTACTCCATCGACGTATCGCAGAAGATCAGGATGTCGTATTGTGCGCATTTTTTTAAACGCGTTCCTAGCTAACGGCAGCCAATAATTTTGTTTTGTACAATCAAAGGTGAAAATCGACACAGCGGAACCATCCTCCTTTAGAAAAAGAAGTTTTCACCAAAACTTAAGATCGACTATGAGTTCAAGAACTTGAAATATGCTGAATAATGAAAAATAGTAAATTTACCTTTTTTGTTCCTCGAAATAGTTCCCATATAGACAAATTTTCATATTCTACTACCTTTTCTCCAAAATTATATGGAAAAGGCGGTATATCTTTTCGTAAGACTACTCGTGATAAGGTTGACTTTAAGTAGTCCATCAAAAAGCGTTGGTTTATTCAAGGAATTAAATAATATATTTTATACAACACAGATTCTTGGAAAAAGTTTGAGAGGCGATAATTTATTAATTTCGATATAGGTGTTAATAACCTAAGACTAACTAGTATTAATGCGGAAAAAAATGATATCAAATGCAACTTAGATTTTTCAAAGCCATTTTTAGAGTTACACCGATTTGTTTGATTCGACAAGATGGCAAATATTTATGAAAAGACTACAACCGCACCAGTCAATATTGCTGTAAGTAAATACAACCATAAAGATACCTTATATATGCTTGCTTTAATCATTTGATTTTCGTATGATATTGAAAAGGTTGTAAAATATTGGGGAAAACGAGATACTTCTCTCATTCTTCCGACAAATTCTTCTCTCTCCGTGACTCTTTCTCAAGACCAACTCCAAAGTAAAACAACTATTCGTGTTTCAAAAGACTTTAAGGCGACGCGTCTATGGCTAAACGGGATAGAAGAGACAAATGTGGAGAACAATCAACGTTTACAAGCTTGTCTTCGAGCTACTCGTCTTTTACGCAAAGAATACGAAAATTCTCTGGCAATTTCCGGTCATGTTAATATCCCGCCTCTATCCGAATGGAATCTTCATATCTGCTCGGAAAATAATTTTCCAACCGCTGCTGGCCTTGCATCTTCCGCGTCTGGTTTCGCTTGTCTAGTCTACACTCTGGCAAAATTATTTGAACTTCCGATATCTGCCACAGATCTTTCGCGTATCGCACGACAAGGATCCGGGTCTGCATGTCGTTCGATGTTTGGTGGGTTTGTGGCATGGGAAATGGGTGATAATACCGATGGTTCAGATAGTCAAGCTGTACAAATCGCTCCAGAAACTCATTGGCCTGAATTAGAAGCTTTGATTTGTGTGGTTAGTGACTTGAAAAAAGGAACCAGCAGCACTGAAGGAATGCAACATACTGTAAAGACCTCGGAGTTACTACAACATCGTATTTCCAAAGTGGTGCCAGAACGAATGCGTGGTATTAAAGAAGCAATTAAAACACGTGATTTTAAAAAATTTGCAGAGATCACCATGCGTGATTCAAATCAATTTCATGCCGTTTGTGTGGACACTTTTCCGCCGATATTTTATATGAATGATGTTTCGCGTGCTATTATTCGATTAATTACCGAATATAATAATAGTGGTGATGAGACCTATAAGGCTGCATACACTTTTGATGCAGGGCCAAATGCTGTAATATACGCACAAAAGGAGAATATCAAAGAAATTATTAATTTATTAGCACACTATTTTCCTTCTACTCTTGATTTAAATAAGGAGTATTTCAATGATCATGCTGGTTTATTTTCTACCGATGAAAAAATTGGCCAATTGAATCTTCCGCGTGGTTTTAATTCTCAAGTTATCCCCGTGTTTCCTGCGGGTAGTGTCAAACAAGTATTACATACTCGAGTTGGAGAAGGACCAAAAGTTTTAGAAAGTGATGGCGAGAGTCTATTGAACAGTGCCGGATTGCCGAAACGACTAATTTAATATCTAGATTTTATATATTCAATATTTTGATTATGTATTGACGTTAGAATTTAATTTAACAATCATAATTTTCCTGTACTAATTTATTCACATTAGTCAAAAAAGGTAATTTTATGGTATCGACCGTGTATTCACTTTATTGGTACCCCACGCCATTTTAGAGCGACAAAAAAATTAAACTCGCCCCCACGCCCTTTTACTCGGACCAAAGAACACGAATATAATCATCACCCACGCCATTTTATTTGGCAACCAAAAAAAAACCAGTTCGTCGATGTCACTTTATTGGTACCCTACACCCTTTTTTAGAGCGACAAAAAAAACATGACTAGAATACTAGTCGATACATTAATAGTGGGACAACAGGATACATAATAGTGGGACCGAAAGGTCTCCTACACAATAGTGGGGACCTTTCGGTCTCCCAATATAATCATGGATCCTGTTTATTATGTATCCTGTCACCATATGATACTATTACTACAGGATACTAGTACTACTACCCCTATCTATACCATTTTCCGTTCACCTTCCAGTGCCACCTAATCTTGGCTAGTTTCGAGTTCGAGTTATGGGTGATGAATTTTGAGCTGCTTTGAGCTTTGATTCGAGTTTGAGTTGCTTGGCTTGGCTTCGCTTAGTAGCTGAGCTTTAATTTCGATTTGATTTGATTTGCATGCATTGTAACGTTAGCGCCTTAGCGCGATTAACAAATCTAGAATAATCAATATACATACACTTCACCCGAATCTAATTGGTCGATCTAATATTTCAAATATCTAATTATAACCTCACATAATGATTCAGATTACAATTAATGATAGTAGTAGATGTGTTTGATGCATTAGCTATAATGAATTTTAGTTATTTTTCGTTGACATAAACCAGTGTCTAATCATTATATATTTAAAAACAAGCCAATCATAATATTTATCACATTTTTTCAATTATCACAAGATAATAAAAATATCACCAAGTTTTGATTATTCAAAGAAGTGTTATAGTTTATTTTGTTAGTTATATATTATTGGACAATTTTTATATTAATTTTTATTGGACACTTTGTATAGTATATTTTATTGGACAATATTTATTTTTATTTATTCTTAATTTTATTTGTTAGCTATTTTTATACCTATTG